AAAAAAAAAAAAAAGAAAATGACAGAAGCATAGTTATAAGTACGTAGGGTTTCATTATACTATATTTTCTCTTTTGAACCTTTTTTACAATATGAAGCTAAAAAGAACTTGATCCTGAAATGAAGGAAATTTCAATACTTCCTACCAAAATAAGTTTAGAGTATAAAACAAATACTACAATTTAAAAATACATGTACTTTTATAAATATATCTAAAAATACAATGGAAGCCATAGTGGGATAGCATGTTTTGTGTTATGCTACTAAAATCTGATGGTATAAATGCAGTAACTGTTCTTCCTATGAGATTAAGATAGTCTCCTTCCAAAAGACTTGAAGCCTTAGAAATCAGATGGAGGGTCACCATGAGTAGGAACTGACAGTGTGTGTTGGGTTGTTACGTTATGTGTGTGTACACTAAAGGTAATTATAAAAATGACAACAGGCTCTCGGCTGGATGCTGCTGTGTCAGCACGCGGGAGCCCGGGTTTGAACTCGAAATAAACTTTGTTAATTCGGCTAAAAAAAAAACAAAACAAAGACAACAAATCTGTAATATCTTTCAATCGATTCTTCGAGAAATTAAATCTTTGCTAAATTCAATAAAGAAATCAAAGTACTAATTAAGATCACAATGTGGACACATGTTTAAAACTGTGACCCACTGGGGCTAAAACTGGAAGATGATGACTTTCCAGTAGATTTTCTAGTTGTTTGAATATGAAAGGGTGCATCCTCAGACCACCAGGGCTCCCAAGGTCAGTTTCCAGGATTCATTTCAAGATTCGTAAAATGGTTGCCAACTGTCACTCATCCTCCAACTTCTCTTACCTCCTCTTTCTGCATTCACAGCTGATTCTACTGAATCCACACACACTTCCATTAGAAATCCATTTTCTGCTCCTAAAATACAAGAACATCCAAATTCATGATGGTATTATCCAGCAAGAACAATCAAACACAAATGGTTTACATTTGGTTGCCAAAATCCAAATACCAAAATAGGAAAGTGGACAAATACACTAAAACTGAACATCAAATTCAATGCTGTTGAGTCAGTTCCAAGTGACAGTGATTCTGTAGAACAGACTAGGAAACTCCATAGGGTTTCCAAAGCCATTAAATCTTTATGGAAGCAGACTACTCCATCTCCTTCCCTTAGGCAGTTGGTGAGTTTGAATGGCTGCTTTTTTTGATTATCAGTCAAGTGCTAAACCACTGTGCCACTAACACTCCTACATGAGCACACCAGAACTCATGAATGCAACTAAACACATTATTAAATTCATGACAGTGAAATATGTACATAGCCATAGGTTATAAGGAATTCTGAGGGAAATATACACTGCCAAGAAAAACACAGGTCTCATCATATTCCAGTTCACATTACCTCAACACTTCTCTCAGTGCCTGTAGAAAATTGTTTATAAGGCTTGGTGTGAGAGAAGGAAATGCGTCCAAAGCCAAACTTACCCCTTATTTATTGTGTAATCTTGGACAAGTTACTTCACATAGGTCTCCATTTTCTATATAAGATAGGTTGTAGTACCCACCTTGGAGTACTGAGAATTAAATGATAATTTATGTAAAGTTCATAGCACTCACCAACTATTCAAAATGTATTTGTTATTAGGGGTGCACCGAGGGAGGGCTGGGTGTGGGGAGGAAAGAAAATGTGCAAAAATGAAAAATGAAATGTGCAAAATGTGCCAAAAAAAAAAAAGAAACGAAGAACATTTAATAAAAAAAAACTCAAACTATTCCGAAGATGGCAGAATGTCCATCCACAGGAAGGACTATGGAAATTAGTCCACTTTCCTTATTTAAAAGAAAAAAACATGGCTGAACTAACAAATTAATACTCACTATAAAAAATAGAAAATCAAACTCAGTTCTATTATTAAAAAAAAAAACCAAAACCAGAGTATATTAGCTATTATCATTAATAAAAAAGAATTTCCTCTATATGCTTCCTGTTTCCCTCAACCACCACCTCTGCTCCTGTTGATATCTCCTCAACTCAAAGTCCTTCCAGCTCTATCTATGAATGCTACAGTCTTCCAATGCTCACTTAAAAACCATGTCTCTACCCCTTCTCCCAAAGCAGGAAATGACATCTCTTACTTCATTAATTAAATGTTCCTCTTTAAAACACTAATTGTTCTTTAATACACAAGCTCCTTCTACCTTTTACAAGTGTTTATGAGCATAGGTTCTCCTCCGGAGAAAGATGGGCCTTTTTTTCCTGTTATGATTATAGCCTCAGAAACCAGATAGAATCTGGACTGGACTGCAGTGAGAGTTTGTTTTTGTTTTTTCAATGGGAGCAGATGGCTGGACGCCCGGTCATTCTTTCATTGTGCTGCCACCTGGCTTCTGAACAGCCAACCTTTTTTTACATTAGCAGCTGAGTGAGTGCAAACCTATAATAATATTAAGCCTTTTCTGGCTTTTTCACTCCCATTTTCTCACAAGGATAGAAGGGGCATTTTTGAAGGCTACAAGATTCTGAAAACCTGCTGGAGTCAGCTATGAGTTGGTTCTGCATGGCGATGATGTTTTTGGTATTTTTATATTTTAGAACTGATGTATCAGTTTGCACTGCATATAAAATAAAATAAGATAATCTGTCTTCTATGAAGCCAGATAGTAAAAAGATTTGTTGCTTAAAAACGCCGAAAGTAATGCTGAACTTAAGGGTTCAGATGTTGATTCTCTGGTTATTGAGCATATCCAGGTGAACAAAGCTCCCAAGATGCGCCGCCGCACATACAGAGCTCATGGTCGGATTAACCCCTACATGAGCTCCCCTTGCCATATGGAGATGATGCTTACTGAAAAGGAACAGATTGTTCCTAAACCAAAAGAGGAGGTTGCCCAGAAGAAAAAGATCTCCAAGAAGAAACTGAAGAAACAAAAACTTATGGCTCAAGAATAAATTAAGTCATCAAATAAAATTAAAACTTTAAAAAAAAGAAAAAAAAAGATTTGCAAAACACTGCCAATCTCTTCGCACATTTTGGAAAATATAGACTTTTCTCTCCCCCATTAATTTTTTTTAAAAGATATTTATTTGGGTTTACTATGGTTATTTTTTAAGGAATTAAATATTTTGCAGAGTCCTGACTTATGATTTCTAATACGTTGTTGTTGTTATGTGCCGTTGAGTCGCTTGCGACTCTTAGCGGCCCTATCTATGTACAACAGCCCTAAACTCTGCTCTGTCCTGTGCTAATCGCACTGTCTCTGACACTCCCATCCCGATTATCCAAGTCACTGAATCAAACCACCTCATAGAGGGCCTTCCCCTCCTGCGCTGTCCCTCCACCCTTCCAAGCATGATGTCCTTCTCTAAGGACCAGTCTCTCCTCACAAAATGTCCAAAATATGTTAGACGGAGCCTCAGAATCCTTGCCTCCAAGAAGCCACCCGGTTTAACCCTTTCCAGGACAAATCTGTTTGTTTTCCTAGCAGTCCATGGTATTCTCAATACTCTTCTCCAGCACCACAGCTCAAAGGCATCAATTCTTCTATCCTCCTTGGTCATTGTCCAACTCTCTGATGCATAACAAGTGATTGCGAAGACCATGGCCTGTATCAGATGCACCTTAGTCTCCAGAGAGGCACCATTGCTCTTCAGTACTTTGGAGAGGTCCCTAACAGCAGACTTTGACATGGCAATGCGCCTTTTAATTTCCTGGCTGCTGGTACCAAGACTGTTGACTGTGGAGCCAAGCAAACTAAAGCTGTGTATAATCTCAATCTCTTCACCATCCATCCTGATGCTGCCAATTGGTCCAGTGGTGAGAATCTTTGTCTTTCTTTTTTTTTTTAATTTTTTTAAATTATTTTTGTGTGAGTGTACCGTCAAATCAGATCTGACTGGTACAGGAGGAAATTGTCCCTCCTTCCCTGGCAGAGCATCTGGTGGATTTGAAACGTGCGCCTCTGGGATTGCAGTTGCAGGTCCTTGCCACTAGAGAATCTTTGTCTTCTTGATATTGAGCCTCAATCCATATCGTAGGCTGCAGTCCTTGACCCTCTGCAGCGGGCGCTTCAGGTCCTCTTCAGTTTCAGCAAGTAGGGTTGTGTCATCTGCATAACACAGATTGTTGATAAATCGTCCACCAATCTTGACCCCACATTTCTCCTCATAGAGCCCAGCCTCCTGGATAATCTGTTCTGCATATAGGTTGAAAAGGTATGGAGATAGGATGCATCCCTGGCATATGCCCTTCCCAGTTTTGAACCATGCAGTGTTCCCTTGCTCTGTTCTGACGACTGCCTCCTGGTCCAAGTATAGGTTTCACATTAGAACGATCAAGTGTTCTGGGATTCCCATTCTTCTCAGAGTCAGCCATAGTTTGTTATGATCCACACAGTCAAATGCAAAGGCATAGTCAATGAAACACAGACATTCCTCTGGTATTCCCTGCTTTCAGCCAAGATCCATCTAACATCAGCTACAATATCCCTAGTACCACGACCCCTTCTAAACCCAGCCTGGACTTCTGGTAGTTCTCTGTTGATGTGCTTGTTCCAGTCGGTTTTGGATAATCTTCAGTAAAATCTTGCTTGCATGTGAAATCAGTGAGATTGTTCTGTAGTTTCCACATTCTAATATAACAGATGCAAAACATATTAATCAGAGTTGAGATCCTCAAAACATTTTAGGCGTGGAATGTAGTTCTGAGGAGCTCAGGAAGCCAACTCAGGGGCATAAGGTTCTAATCCAGCAGGGACTCCGCGGAGGAAAGATGGGCAAACTCCTCCCGTGTGATCGATCTACAACCACCTCTGCAAACCCGCTGGAGGGTCCGCTATGCGGCGGTTCTGAGGCACAGCGCCAAACAATAATGACCTGCTTTGATCCAGGACTTTGAGAACTAGTTTGGAGGAACCATAAGTTCACGGAGGGAAACCCCTTGCCACCAGCTATCCTACTCTGGCATGACAGGTAGGCTTGGAGCAGCCACAAGCTGTCACTTGGTACTCGGCGGACAACTCCCATTTCCGCCGCGGCTCTGTGCTCTACGCTTGACATTTAATAACCACACCGAGGCAGCAATAAAGCACGTACGGATATCCTCAAGCCGCAAAGGCGAGCGGGAGGCGCCGAGAAGTTAACTAATCCTAGTAAGGTCTCGTTACATTACATGGAGCGTCAGGATTCGAACCCACGAATCCAGAGCCGCAGGCCACTGCCGCTACTTGCCCCTTCTCAGGCCCTTCGTCTCCTCACTGCTAAGGAAACTGAGGAAACTACGCGGGATTCCACCGGCCGGGATCCCCGCCCCAGGGGCCGAGTGCGACGAGGGCCCCTCCCCCGCCACCTCCGCACCGGCCTTCCCCGACTGCATCCGCGCCTGTTTCCGCTCCGAGGAGGCCTTCTGCCTCTTCATGCTCCACGAGGTCCTCCCTCGCTGGGCTTTAGGTGGTTTCCACTTGGGCTGAGTTTCTGAGCGCGCGACCCGAGAAGCGCGTTCCCAACGGCCGCGCGCGGCTGCGCGCGTTCCCGATCCCCACGCCCCGGCAGCCCCGGCGACAGCGGAGTTTCCGCACAGGCGCAGTCACGCCCCGTCGCGGCCTCAGGAAGGGTGCGGTGCTGGCTGTGCGTGACCTGGAAGTGCTTCTGGCCGTAGTGTTTGGCAAGAGAGGGTAGGCGCCGGGTGAGGAAAGGTCCATCCACAACTCTCAAGATGCAACGCTTGCTCTTGCCAACACTGAAGGCCTTGACCGGGAGCCCGTGCGTCCGGCTCCTGGGTCCTAGGGCGGCGCCTAAAGTACAGGTACCTCTTGGAGGCGCGGCAGTGGCGGTGGGGTGAAAGGGAACAGGTACTTCCACATTAGGGTTCTATAGTTCCTTACAGTTTGTAAGCATTTGCTCGTGCTTACTACGGTCCTTTGGACCCGACTCTACCACTTACTCAAACTCACTGCCATCGAGTAGATTTCGGCTCTTAGGACCATCGATCGGTTCCCAGTGCTGTAAGTCTTAGAGATTTTTCGATCCCTTGAAGTTCTGCAGCCTCTGGCTGTGTCCTGTTGGTCGAATTACTTATCTGTGTCTCAGTTTCCTCATTTGTAAAGTGCAAAGAATAATACCTACTTTGTAAGGTTGTTGAAAGGATTAAAGCTTAACACATGTCAAGGTCATAGCACTAAGAAAAAGTTGAGAATTTTTACTTGTTTATTTGATTTTTGCAACATGACCCCCAGATAGTCAGGGTAGGTACAGTAATTTCCGTTCTCCAGAGAAGGAAGTAGAGGTTTAATTTAACTGATGTCTAAAGACAACAGTAAGGTTAGTTAATTAGTAGCAGAGCAAGAAAGACAACACAAGTCTTTGTGTCAGGATACAGCTAAAAGAAAGTATGTATGCATTGAATAATTATTGAGTGATTTTTTTAAAAACTGGTGATGTAGTTGGTAAGGAGTTTCGCTGCCGACCCGGAGTCTGGCAGTTCGAATTCACCATGCTCCACAGAAGAAAGACGATCTCCTTCCTTGCAACATACAACTTCTGAGGAGGGGAGTCAGCTATGAATTGATTTGGACAAGACAGCAATGAGTGCTGGAGAAGATCACAGTTCTTATTAATTAATTGTTCTGATTTTTCAGTAACATCTTGCTGTGCTTATTAAGTGCCGTAGAATCAGAACTGACTCATAGTTGACCCTCCAGAGGTTTTTCAGAGGCAGTCATTTGCATGGGAGGAGCTTACCTGTCTTTGTCCTGCAGAGCAGCTGGTGGAGTCAAACCACATGCCTTCGAGTTTGCAGCACAGCTCCTTATCATTAGGCTACTGGCGAGAAAGAGCCAGGCTGACCACATCCTCGTATCTTATAACTTAGTGGGAAATACAGACTGGTGAAGGCCAAGGTATATAACAGCATGGTTAGGACTGTGATGGGGGAGTTATTGAGTGCTTTCCAGAGGTGGCATTGTAGCTGAGATCTGCAGTAGGAATTATCCTTCAAGAGTGTCTCAATCAGAGACATGTTTAAAGACCTAGCAAAGAAAAAAGAATGTCTAGACAGTAGAATTAAGTCTCAGCTAACTCTACAGTTACCAGAAAGTTTGCTTTTTCATGTTATTGAGTAAGGCAACAGATTCTTGAGTGATGGATTGAGTGAGATAAAAGAAACCGATTGGGAGATGAATGGAGTAATCTAGGTAAGAAATAATTTATCAGAAAAGTGGGTGCGTATGGGTAGCAATAGTGAGGCCTTGCTCCTCTGGCTGGAATTCCTCTGTCTTCATCCTTAGCATGGCTGCAGCTTCAGGATCAGATGCCCCCTGAGGCCAGGGCAGTACAGCACCATCTCAGAAGTTGCTTTGCAGTCTGGGAGGAGTACAGTGCCCCTTCCTTCGAAGGCTGCTGAGCGCGTGGTGGGCCGATGGCTCCTGATTTGCAGTGGAACAGTGGCCGGAGCAGTCATTCTTGGTGGAGTAACGAGGTGAGTAGTCACGAGAAAGTCACCTGTTTGCGTCATGAGTTGAATCATTGGATGCTCGAGGGATAGGGCCCCAAAGGAGATCGTGTAGTCTAGCTCCCACATTTCACAGGTGAGGCCCAAATAGGCAACATTTTTTCCCCTTTTCTGTTTCTCTGCCATACAAGAGTGTAAAGTCTGCCTTTTTTCCTTTCCTCAAGTTTATTTGTTTGAATTAAACCCAAATTTTTATACCACCCAGATGCCTCTTGTTAGGTACCATCAAGTCAACTACGACCCATAGCAATCATTTGAACAGCAGATCGAATGAACAGCGCTGTCCTGTACCATCCTCATCATCTATGATACATTTGAGTCCAGTGTTAAAGCCACTGTGTCAATCCACCTTGTTGCTCTTCCTTATCTCCTCATTTTCCTTTCTTTTGCTAATGTCTTGTGTACCATTGTGTCAGAACTGAGTCATGGCAGACTTTCCACAGGCAGTAAATCGCATGGGAGGACATTGCCCATTTTTTCTCCTATGGAGTCGCCATTGGATTTGAACCACGTGGCTTTGAGTTGGCAGCGCAAACTTCTTACTACTAAGCCACCAAAGCTCCTGTGATAGCTCTTAAGTCTGTTTTAAAGCATAGGTCTTCCTCCTGTTACTGTCTCCTTCCTCTAACAGTTCTTTTTGTTGTTGAACAACCCCAAATTGTCCTATAGAGTGACCCACAGCCTAGGTTTTGCTGCCCGCATACATATGGGAGTGTTTAGCATATCACACTTACCCCCATGTTCTTTGTAAATTAATTGTTGTTTGGTCAAATTCAGATAGATAAAAATACTTAGTTGTTTGTTCTTTGGTGCAGCCAAGTAGACCGTGGCTCATAGCAATGTATGAACAGCAGACCTGAACCTCGCCCTCGCCTGTACCGTCCTCATCATCTCTGATATACTTGTCATATGCATTGGTGTAGTTACTGTGCCAGCCTGTGTTGCTAAGCAGGTAATGGTATTAAGAAGGAACCTTCATAATACTTGATGTCCAATAAGAGATGTCAACAGACATTGATGACCGTTGCCCAGATACATGAATTAATTTTATTATCCTTTGCTGTTGTTACTGACCCTGTGTACTACAGGACACAGTGGTAATGGCCTGCTCTTACACCATCTTCGTGATCAATGGTCTCTAAGTCCATTGTTGGCAGCCACTTTGTATTTTGAAAGCTAACTTAGAGGAGTCATCTTTCAGCACTGTATCAAACAATATTCTGTTATAATCCCGAGAGTTTTCATTGATTTTCAGAAGGAGATCACCAGGCCTCCTCCTTCCTAGTCTGTCTTAGCCTAGAAGCTTCACTGAAACCTGCTCCATGAGTGACTCTGCTAATATGTGAAATACCAGTGGTGCAGCTTCCGGTATCATGGCAACATATTGGCTTTGCTAGGATGACAGACTGATAGCTGGATCATAGATAATTTCATAGTTGTTGTTGTTGTCATGTGTAATCAAGTCGACTACAGCTTATATCTACTCTGTGATCAGTTGCTCTGAACCCTGACCTATCTTGAGCCAGTCTCACGGTCTCTGGCATACCTGCTCCCATTATCACAATTACTGTGTCACTCCATCTCATCCAGGATCTTCATCAGATGATTTAATTTTATTAGCTCAACTCTAAAGAGAAAATTTTCCCGTATCAGATATTTTATAGTTTATATAGGAAAGAAAGAAGAAATAACTTGATTCTTTCCTATTGTTGACCACTTTTCAAAAGAAGAAATTCATTTACTCCAATTTGAGCTGCTCTGAAAGTAAAAAGGAATGTGGCATGAGGATCGGAGGAAGACTCATCAACAGCCTGTGTTATGCAGATGCACAATATGCAGCAGCAACCGTCCTTGCCGAAAGTGAGGAGAACCTGGAAACTGCTTGCTCCAGAGGATCAAAAACGACAGCCTTCGTTATAGATTATATCTCCACATCAAGAAAACAAATTATCATGGAGCCAATAGGCAGCATGATGATAGATGGAGAAAGGATTGAAACTCAGTGATTTCATCTTACTTAGATCCATGAGCAATACCCTTGATTCCAAAAGTCAGGAGATCAGGAGACGTATTGCTAAGGGCAAGTCTACTGATGGGGACCTCTCAAATATTGAAGAGAAATGTCAGCTTGAAGACTAAGGTGCATCAGATTCAGGCCATGATCTTTTCTATTACTTGCTGTCCATCTGAGAACTGGACAGTGAATAAAGATGACAGAAGAATTGATGCCTTTGAGGTGTGGTGTTGGAGAAGAGTTCTGAATATCCCATAGACGGCCAAAAGAAGAAACAGCTGGGTTGTGGAAAAGGTCCAATCAGAGTGCTCCTTGGAGGCAAGGATGTCACTCACACTTGGACATGTTGCTGGGGGACGCTGTTGCTCTTCCTTGGAAAGGTGGAAGGTCAACAAAAGAAAGGAAGACCCCCAATAGCGTGGATTGACGTGGTGACTACAGCATTGGGCTCCAGTGTATCAGAGATGATGAGGATGGCTCAAGATAGGACAGGATTCAGGTCTTTTGTTCATAGGGTCACTAGGGGTCATACTTGACTTGATGGGACCTGACAACAACAGTAGTGACCAGTAAAGTGTTTGTGTTTTTAAGTACCGTTATTGGCCATCCATGTGGGAGGTCAGGTTTGATTCTTGGCCATTGCACCTCATGTGCAGTCACTACTGTCAGCCTATGTTAATAATCATAAACTAGTTTCATCAATGCTTCCAGGAGAAGATGGACTAACAGAAAAGCTTGCTGATCACCTTCAGAAGATCAGTCTGTGAGAACTGTAGTAGATGGGATGGTCACAAGTTGATAGCAGCGAACATCAGCAGTCTTGCAGGTTTAAACGGATTTGATATGTTTTAATCCATCTCAGAGATGATGATGATGGTGAAGATCTGCTCAAATGGTTTCATGTTTAGTCTGTGGAAAATGTTTGGCTCCTGGATCTTTTTTAAAGAACCCCATTTCCTTTCATAGCTTCTTTGCATTGTGGTATAAGATGTTCCAGCCTCATTTACACATTTCCTGCCTCAGGCTTAAGTTCAGCCTTTTATTTTAGCAGGAGGGACCAGTCCTTAAAGAAGGACATCATGCTTGGAAGGGTGGAGAGAGATCTCTGCACAAGAGAGAAAGACCCTGAAGAAGATAGTTAGACAGTAACTGGGGTAATGGGGTTAAGTGTGCCGGAGACAGTGAGATTGGCTCGGGATAGGACAGAGTTCAGATCAGCTGTGCATAGGGTTGCTGTGAGTTTTAAGCAACACAGTGGCACATAGCAACAACAGTTCTTTATGATGGAAATGCTTTTGGTTTTAATAAAGTCCATATGCCTTAAATTCTCTAGTTTTTGTGACCCTTATCTCATTATCATTCTTTCAAGATACCTTTTTCTGTGTTTTTAGGCTATTATGGGAAAATATAACTGATTTGGGATTTTTTGTCTTTAAATTCACTTAAGACCCTAAACTTTCTTCTATCTCTAACAGACCTCTTTTCTTTATGTAAAGAATGTTGGTTAAAATGTGCAACAATGAATGAATGGAAATCCAAGTTCTTTATAAACTTTTATTAAAATCTAAAAAAAAAGAAACCTAGAAGTTTAAACAAAACAAAAAAGAATGTTGGTTATGCATTTCATTCTTTTGTTATTCTTTTTGTTATTCTTTGATTATACCTATAAGGGAATTCTAGTAAGAGAAGGAAATGGTAAGAATGTACTAAAATGATTAAGAGACTAAGAAGATAAAGAAATTTAAATCCAATAGCAGTTGTTTTTAAAAGGATTTTATGCAGTCAGAAAAGTCAAAAGAGGAAATAATGAAATGTCTTTACTTTTGGAGGGATTATGTTCAGATCTGCTTAATCACTAGAGACCATGTCTAAGTGAACCAGTGTCATACACACTTCAAATTTCTTTCCTAAGATTGACAGAGTCTGGCCTCTCCATGGTAGATTGGCATTTAATAAAGGAGATGAAGCCTCCTACAAGCCAAGAGGAATGGGAAGCAGAATTCCAAAAATACCAGCAGTTTCCAGAATTTAAAATGTAAGTACGATACTAGCAAAAATCCAGTAAAGATCCTATCAGACCCGTTGGTGTTTCGCAATTTAAATACTCCAGAATTACTTGATTCTTTATTCCCTGACATTTGGTTTAGTTATGTTTAGTGAACTCCCAGGTGATCCTGGGTTCACTGATGAGGAACCAAGCAAACCTACCAAACTGTATAACTTCAACTATTCCTGTATCCCAACGGGAAATAAAAATTAAATAGATGTTTCCTCTTTATTCTTTATTAAATTTCCCTTTTCACTCAGCTTGAATCATGACATGACCCTGGCAGAATTCAAGTTCATCTGGTACATGGAGTACTCACACCGAATGTGGGGGCGCCTTGTGGGCCTCGCATATGTCCTGCCCGCTGCCTACTTTTGGAGAAAGGGTTGGCTCAACCGTGGCTTGAAAGGACGTGTTCTCGCTCTCTGTGGCTTAGTCTGTTTCCAGGTGAGAATTACCTAGAGACTCTCCCATGGGGTTTTGTAGTTGGCCTTGTTTATAAGGAACACTCATCTCTGAGGCTAGAGAAGAGCATGGGATTTTTGTGTCACAGATCTGGCATTACAGCCAGCTCTGCTGCATAACATCTGTAAGCCTTCATTTCCTTCCTTGGTAGATGAGCTTAAGAATGTCGTTACTGTTGTCTGCCTTCAAGTTGGACCTGACTCATTACTGACCCTCCAGCAGGTTTTCAGAGGCAGTAAATTATTTGGGTGGAGATTGTCTATCCTTCTGTCATGGATCAGCTGGTGGATTCAAACTGTGCCTTCAGGACTGCAGTGCAGCTCTTACCTTTAGGCCACCAGAGCTCCCTAGGGGATAAGAACAGTGCATACTGTTTAGAGTGTGCGGAAATTAAATAAGACTGAACACTTAGTTTAGTGGTTATAATCTAGTCAGTGCTTGGTAAATATATTTTCATGTGCCCCTACTGAACTCTTATCTCTTCCCTTTTATTTTTGGTTTTGTTTTGTTTTTTCTTTTTTTTCTCTCTTCCCTTTTTATAACTTGTGTGTACTGGTAAGAAAACACGAATCCATGTAATGATTAAGCATCCATGACCCTACGTGTAGAAACATGGCTATGGGGTACTGGGAATTGAGGAGGGTCTAAAAACGAGGGGTTGGGTTGGAAGTGCCACCAGTAATAACTCCCTTCCTTGGAGCATAAAGTTGAGCAGACAGGTTCAACCTTGTTCTATTTGACTAACTTTTCTTGGTTCCAGGGTCTGTTGGGATGGTATATGGTGAAAAGTGGATTGGAAGAAAAGCCAGATTCCCACGACATCCCTCGAGTCAGTCAGTACCGCCTCGCCGCACACCTGGGCTCAGCCCTGGTGCTTTATTGTGCCAGCTTGTGGACGTCCCTGTCACTGCTGCTTCCTCAGCACAAGGTAAAAATCAGTGTATGTGTTGTTACCAGAGCTGCTGATGGCATCAGGGAAACAGAAATTCTGATTCTAATGAGATGGTATAAGTCAGAAGACTTCCTTTAAGTAGACTTTACTTACAACACTAGTCATAATTCAAGCTTAGAGAACTATTGAACTTTAGGACTCTAGATAAGTTTGGGACTTGTTGTTTGTTGTTGTTATGTGCCCTCGAGTTGCTTGGGACATCTAGTTTGGAACTGTAGAGGAAAAAAAATGTGCAGTTATTCTCCTAGACTGAGGCAGTTCATTCAAAGGAAAAGTCATATATTAGAAAAACCTTGAAGGGAGCTCTGGTGGCCTAGTGGCAAGACGCTACACTTCAATCCAAGAGGTACGCGGTTCAAATCCACCAGATGCTCTGCTGGAGAAGGAGGGGGCAATCTTTAGGAAATTTTTAGGGGCATTTCTCTCTCCCCTTCAGGATTTCCTTGGATGTTCTTAGCATCTTATTATTGTTGTTATGTGCTGTCCAGTCAGAACCAACTCAATTGACTCTCTAGTGCTTTTTCAGAGGCTGTAAATCACACAGGAGGAGATGGCCCATCTTTCTCCCTCAGAGCAGTTGGTGGATTCAGACCACCTGCCTTTGGTTTGGTAGCACAGCTCCTTACCCACTAGGCCACCAGAGCTCCCTTTAATGATATTATCTACAAATAGGTTTTCTTATCCAGACTGTAAGGTATATGTATATACCTAAAGTATATAGTATAAGGTATACTTCACATTCTCTTGTAGTCCCTGCAGTACAGTTTATCTGAATGATTTCCTTTCTCTAGTTGGTTGAAACTCATCAGCTCTTACGACTGAGACGATTTGCTCATGGAACAGCAGGCTTGGTGTTCTTTACCGCGCTTTCAGGTAGGACTCTCGTCAAAAACGGCCTTTATTCATTTTATCCTAAGTTTACCTGATGCTCCATCTGCATTTCCACTTCACTCCTGCCTCTCACATACTCAGCATCACTACTCTCTCTGTTTTCTGTTCCTTCTTCCCTTTGAAAAGTTCTATTTAAAAATTAATATTGACCATCTACTTGGTTCCACATAGTCTGGGTTCAGATTCTGGCTTTACTACCTAGTCATAGCTGACCTCCCAGCAGTTTTCTGAGCTGTAAATCATGAGGGAGGAAACCACCTAAGGATCAGCTTGATTTGGTTCTGACTTGAAAGCAATGAGTTATTTTCTTATATTGAATATGTATGCTGACCAGATAATCCAAGAAACTGAATTGTGTGAAGAATATGGCATCTGGATTAGAGGAAGACTTTTTAACAACTTGCATTATGCAAATAACACAACTTTGCTTGCTGAGAGTAAGGAGGACTTGAAGCATTTACTGAAGAAACTTGGAGACTATACAACCTTCAGTCGGGATTATACTCAAGATAAAGAAAACAAAAATTCTCGCATCTGGACCAAGCAACATCATGATAAATGGAGAAAAAAATTGAAGGTGTTAATGATTTCCTTTTGGATCCACCACTAACACGTATGGAAGCAGCAGGCAGGAGGTGAAATGTCGCATTCATTGGGCAAATCTGCCAAGGACATTTTAAATAACTAATGAGCAAGGATAACACTTGAAAATGCATCTGGCCAGGTCAGAGTATTTTGCATTTATTCATATACGTGTGAATGTTGAATCATGAATAAGGTAGACCTAAAAAGAACTGATGCCTTTAAATTGTAGTGTTGGCAAAGGGTATTAAAACATACTATGAATTCTCAAAAGAGCAAACAAGTATGTGTTGGAAGAAATGCACAGAATCCACCTTTGAGCAGAATTAGTGAGACTTCATTTCACATACTCTGGGCGTGTTATCAAGGAGCAGTCCCTGGAAAAGGACATCATGCTTGGAAAAATAGGAGCTCATTGAGAAAGAAGACGGTCCTCAAAATGACTGATTGTCACAGGCCTGGAACAGAGTGACGATGAGGATGGGGCAGTCTCGGGCCTTTGTTCGCTTGTATGTACGGTAGCCGTGAGTAGAAGCCAATTTGATAGCCCCTCACAGCAACAATCCATTTTAAACGTCGTTCTGCGGTCACACTGCAGAACACATCCAGGTGTTCGGTGTGGCCAGTGTCCATATTTAGGTCAGTACACATATAGGACGTTTCCATCATTGCAGTGACGGGGAGTCCTGTTTATATAGAATCACTGGGGCTGATCTGTTTGAAAAGGTGACATTTGAATGGAGGCCTGCGGGAGTAGAGGAGTAGATTGTGAGGATTATTTGGGGCAAGACTGTTTTCCAGAATACTTTTTCTTAGGGGCTGGGCTGGGGGTGCTGCTGAAGGAATCATTTGAATCACCAATGATGTTTTCCAAATTCAGGTGCCTCCCTTCCCAGCGCTGGTCCACTCTTAGAGGTGGCATGCCAGAATATTGAGCTAAGCAAGAGTAGACGAAAAGTTTGGTTGGTTGATACTTTTTTTTTTTTTT